CTGAGCTTCGAATAAATTAAATAATTTAAAATTTTATTAAAGTTTTTTATTTATTAGTAACGTCAGCGTACTCGATAAAACAATACAAATACAATGTAAATTTTTTAAAGCGAAAGATTTTTTACTTTGGCTTTGACAATCCAGAAATTTTTGCTAACTAAAAGTTTAAAAATAACAATTTTAGATTTGAAATCATTATTAAAGCTAAAAAAGGTACAAATTAAATAATTCATTTATTTATGGTAACATGCAATTGAAAATAACAATTTGGACATACGGTATACAGCTAATGGAAACAGCATCAAAATCAAACGTGATAAAAATTCAAAGATGCCGAAATAAATTACTTAAAAAATATTGAATACTCTAACGAAACAATATAAATTCAATGCAAATAATTTAATAATTTTGGCTTTGATAATTCAAAGAGTTTTGCTAATTAACAGAGTAAAAATTACAATTTTTATAGCAACCATGATTTGTTCACAAAAATTATGAAAAAAGTTACAAAGAAAATGATTTATCTATTTACGGTAACATTCAACTAAAAATTATTAAGCTAATTTAGACATACGTAAACAACTAGGGAAATCAGATTCCAAATCAAACATTAATACATAAACACAATAAACGATGAAGTACTTCAGATAATTACAAAAGCCGCCTCTTAGATCATTCAAACTACCAGGGCAAGATTAAAAAAGAAATGAACGTTACATTAAAATATGTCAATTTCCAAAATCTCTGTCAATAGTCAGAAGATTTTGTATTTATAAAGTCATTTTTTTTGCACAGTTTTACTTGTTGTCCAATCCAGGACAAGTGTGAAAATTCTATATAATAAAAAAAATTAAGATATTTCTAATAATTATTGCTTAATGAGTTGTAAATAGGCGTGGAATTAAAATACACAAACAATCTGAATGGCAACCAAATTATATTATAACTACCGTTACCAAAAGCGCGTATGATAAATTTAATTACATGTTCATAGTCTTGAATTGTAGAGTCAATGTCCAACACTTTGCATAATAGCATTATAAACGTTTTTAATTGTTTTATAAATATGTAAATAGTAATAATTCGTCTTATCTAAAGCATCTCATTTTAAGGAGTCTGAAAAAATGAGCACACACACATAAAAATTCCCATGAACAGACGCATTAGACAAAGTTATATCATAATTAGTATTCTTTTGAAACTTTAATATAAAGATGATATCCCATTCAAAAAATCTCATTCGAGATCTCATTTCGTTGCCACAGAAATAAAAAGTATGCATTATCTGATCATCTGATTGAAAAGAATAATAAATTAAAATATTATTTATCTGATTGTTACCATCTCACTTACTGCGCGTTTAGCTCAAGGCTGTCATGTATCTTGAGACCTAATTTCGTATCCACTTAATTCATAATATTGATATGTTTATTATATAAAGTGAATATAAAGTTTTTTGTATGAATCATTTTATAAAAGTGAATCAATTAGCCGCAACCGTATCACTGAATCACTCCAGGTGAGCAACAGATGAGGTTGTGAGTTTACCATGATCAGTTTTACTAAACTGATTCTCTTTTTGAAGTTAAAAATTGTCAAAAAGATAGTACATTTATAATTTAATTTTTATTTGAGATCAACTCTAATATTGTTAAAAAAATTTAATGAATAAATATTCATAACAGCAAACGCTCTGTAACTATTTGTAAGAAAATGTAGATCAAGATAATTCAAACATAAACAGTAACTACTTACAGCAAATAAGTAAATAAGTATATTGTATAATATAGATTTTTATAAAATATTAAATTTTTTATCTATTACAAAAATTCTTAGTTTCTGTTATTGTTTGTTTTATCATGAGAATTTAAATATAAGATACGACTTAGACACAAGACATCAATAATCAATAGGATGTTTCCGTATTATTTTGATATCCTTGTTTTCTATTAGATGATTTATTATTTTATTTTGAAGTCCAAATCTATCTATTTGATTGGCTTGTTTTGCTACCGATTGTTATGCGATAATCTTTTTAAAAACAAATAAATTTGATAAAAAATTAATTTTCGAGACTTATATGTTATCTATTGTTATATTTATTGAACAAATATCAATGAGATTTTCACTATCTGAAATATTTAATTAAGAGAATGAATAGCTTAGATTCAAGAGTTTTAAATATAATGTGGCTTCTAATTTAAAGAACTTAAAAATAATATTGTGTGTGTCTGTATTATCCATCATGTGTATTTTACGTTCCTGCCAATAATTAATAAATCACAAGTGCACTAAATTGCCAAAATGCATTTTATCGTCTAATGCACTCCCAAAATATTACCATACCAAACAATACCATACAATAATACTACACCATCTGACTAGAAAATAGACCTCATAGATACGGGTAATTAAATCTAGTAAAAAAACGTTTTCAGATCACGCATAAATCAATAACCCGTGAAAAAATAATAAAAAATAGCTGATGATCGCGTGGCCTAAAATAAACCTTAACACATGCCGCAACATTTATCACTCCGAAAGGAAAACTGTGCCGAAATTGCGAGAGACAAGTACATATGACGCGACCATATGAATGCAATATATAGGGCGAGTGGCATGTAAATAATAGAACGACAGCTGGGATAAATTCGGTAAAGGTCATTCGAAATAAATAAAGGTCCCAGAACTCAACGTCAAGGGAGTTGTAGTATTGTCACTAGCACAGAAAACGCACTTTGGTACATGTTAACATATCAAATTTCAACAAATAGTGTTAATTCAAGTAAACTTGAAGCAATTGTGTTCGGATCCAAATCTTAACATATCAAAATTTAAAAAAAAATAATTATAATGACCAGAAAATAGTTACAGAATCACCAAAGCTCTAGACTGCACTTAAAAGCTCACAATTTTCAAACTACATGAAATAATGTTTTTTTCTATTTTTTCCCATGATATTTACAATCTATACTGTCACCTGGGACACCCTGTATATAAATATATTGTTGCTAGTCTAAGCAAAGCACCACATTTTATCATCCTCCTACAACTTATTGTCCAAAGTTCACTTTTATAGAATTCACAACTCTACTATTTTATGTTAAATGATATATGGATATGGATACTAGTCCAATTATCCATATATTTATAATTTTGTTACGATAGATGAAAATATTTTCAATCAAAAAATGTAGTCTATCAAAACTGAGTGAATGAGTAGCTACTTGTTAATATAATATAAACATTATATTAATATAATGACTAACATATTTTCATCGCAATTTTATATTTTCAATTGTGAGCATCTGAGCACTTATTTTTGTTAAATTAATTAGCATTTGTTTTCTTGCATTCAAGTATTCAAATTACAAATTTACTAAGCGTGGTAGTGAATTTTACATTTCTTGTGATGAGGTTTCAAACACGATTTGTGGATTCGGCGCCATGAATATATTTTAAAACGATGTTCGACAATTTAAAAACTAAACGAACGAATTAATATGTCGAACACAGAGTGTCGCAATCTTATAAAAGCGATTTGTATATTTTTTGCATCGTAGAACATATTAAAGAAATATTAAAAAATGTGAATATTAGAAGTAGAAAAATTTAGACGTATAAAACTGTCATGGCCCCCAGTTTGAAATATTATCTATTATTCCTCCAGCTCTCCTACTAAATAGTCCAAGTTGCATATGAGTGGTATCAGTATGTTACGCGAAGCATCAAACAGTTGGGTGAATAAAAGATTAATTGGTAAGCAAACATCAGGGGTAGTTCTCTCGGCCTAGTCGGGGTGTAAGTTAAATTTCGGAAGGGCGGTCTGTGGTAAGAGTGATGAGTATAGCGGATATGGGGATTAATGCGTTAAAATACACTTGTGTTCTGAATGGGCACTTGAATAGTTGTACTCGATGTGTATTTTAAATCAACCGCTATTGTTGTCTAATCTATATGAATCTGTCGCGCGATACCGCACTACCGCGTTATATAGGACGTGGGTTGTTACAGTTTGGTTCAAGTGCATAGGAAACGATTGTATACATATATATTTATATATATTCAATCAATTGAAAAAATGGCATATTTAAAATATTAAAGACAAGCAAATTCTTTTTTTTTCATTATTGTCAATACTGAGTTCCAATTTAAGGGAGCATATATGTTATATGCCAATACTGAGTTCCAAATTAGCGGAGAATATATAATAATTAAACATAATAAAAATTTGTATCAAAGTATATTACAGTAATAGTTTAATCATATAAACTGGATATTTGTACACATAATAGCCTCTAGGATTCAGTACATAATTAATCTACAACACTTGTAATTGTTGCAAAGCTAATTTTTATAAAAGCAATTAATGCCACTGAAATAAATCTCCAGCTCATTTTATTCTTTACAATACATATAATGTTTGTATAGATGAAATACTTTTCTTCATCATCATTTTTATACGGTAAAAATTACTAATGACTCCATTAACAGTACATATTATTATCAACTCAATAATAAAACACATCTCGAGTACTTATTTGATTAATACCAGTGCTTAAAAAAATACAGAGATTATTAATGTTAATGAAAAACGTGTACAGTAATTAATTTTTTGTGCAGTATATGAAGAGTTGTTAAATTTAATATGTTATGTACCTACAGCACACTGGATTGTAGAGCTTTTGTGTTCGGAATTTTAAATGGGAAAGAAAGAAAAATTAAATCAATGGTAGGAAATTTATAAGATGAAACAGATGATAATCATAATAATTTAAGAAAGTAAAAATTTAGACCAATAACCACGGCAATTCTCACTGCAATCATTAATTTTAAATCCATATTTTTGTAAGCTTGGTACTAACATATGGAAACCAATCTGTCGTTTTCCAAAATTTCAAAGTCTAAAATTTATATCCACTTAACCCCGATCATGTAAATGTATTCTAACCCGAAACCGACAAACAATAGGTCAATAATTATATAAAAATAAATCTTACCTTGGTCGCATAAAATCCCGCCCCAGTTAGTATCGCATATGCACTGCCAAGCCGATCCGTTGCAATAACCGTGAATACACCCCGGATAAGGGGTGCACTCGTCGCACAAAGGACCTCTCCACCCTGGTCGACATCTGGAATAGAAATAAAATACAATATTATTTTGTTACAAGAGCAAGGATAGACATATATTACAATATCCGATTATGATATGGTTGTTTTTTAAATCGTGGACATGTGGGTGAAAAATGGAAGTAATTGAAAGTGTTCAATAGGTTGTATTGACACAGATTCGGTTGCGGAATTTTAGAATAATCGGATTTTCATAGCGATTGAATTTAATAGGAATGGATTATTTATAATAAAATAAATAAATTTTTCGAATCTAGTTTTTCAAGTAATAAAAATGATAAACATAAGGCGTTGTTACTTCCTTATAGTAACTTAAATAATAAGATATTGAATTGTTTACATTTTGACAACAATTTGGTTGCAAAATTTTGAAAAAATCTAATATACATTGACTTTTATTTTTTGTATCTATTTATAAACTATGAAAAAATTATAAATATTACATAAAAGGTATATTCTGTAAATGTGTATTACTACGCATATATGTAAAATTTCCAAGAAATTCAGAAACAAACAGTCCAATATACTTCAAATTATCGCTATTATAAAAATAGTATAAATACTACTATCTATTCTCCTGTTTTTCTAGTTCAAATTGCCCTTTCAATTATCAAAAATATCATGTATAACTTCATAGGCAGTCATAATTTTTTTGTCAACAAAAAATTCACAAACAAAAGACCTTGATTCCAATCAAATTAATTTGCTTTCAATCTATGTTTTTCGCATCCGACAACACGAAATATTTTTTGTCGAAACAGTAACTTTTTATCGGCATATAACTTTGAACTGAAATCAAATTGGAAGCTATGTCGATGAAATGGTTGAATTGTGAAGTCATCATGTGAAGACTTTTTGTCAAAATTAATATCGTGGCGTCTAGTTTTTCTTCGCACGATTGTTTCTGAAGTTGTTTTTTTAATAAAACATATCATACTTATGTTTTATAACAGTATAGAATAGATATACAATAAAATTGACATATATTTAGGCCAATTTATATTTGTAAAAAAATTATATGTTTTTGTTGTTCACATCAAACATATACTACTAGTGAAATATTTCTCATAAGGTCATTTAAAAAAGTACTTACTTACATATTGCAAATGCTAAGATTTATGTTAATATATTGGTAATAAATCATAAATATTGGATTACAAACGAAGCCATTAATCAATGCTAAATTAATTAATACTAGAGCTGTATAATTATGCATCTTGTATCGAATCCAATGCATTTATCTCAACACAAAACCCAGTTGGCAGTTATTTCAATTATACAGATAAAATCAATCAAATCCAAAAGCTTATAAAACATTTTCAATATTAATAAATTTTCCATCAAATGTTTCCATATAAATCAAGAGACCTGTCTCATTTTTGGCATCATCGGTGTCAGTTTCGAAATTCATCTTGTCTAAGGTATTTCTCTCATCACGGTTTCGAATCAATCTAACAGACATTAGAAATCGCTATCAAAAGATATTAATAACTAGCACTATTTATTAATTAATTTTCAAACACGTCTAGCAAGTGTCATCCACAAAGCATGAGTTATAAATCACGGTTCTGTATTGACAGAACTAAATGGATGCAATTTATTGAACTGCGAACAGCTTCCTATCGCGATCGATGGAAAAGATTTACAGTCTTCCCGAATGCATTCTTCACGTCGTCAAATGGAAAAGTTAAGGCGGAGGAAATCTAGCTTTCATGGAATGTTTCATTTCAAAACACTTCCACGTGCACACACACATATATACACATACTCGTACACGTGAATAAAAATGAAAATTTTTTATACCTCTGCTTGCTAAAACCAACCTAAGCCACCTTTTAAGACAAACTAGAGTTTTTGGTGATCACCATACCACATTAAAATTGACCATTGCCTATTATGAATACATTGTTACAAAAACAAATGTGTATAGTGTATAGATATGGTAACAATAATATCGCAAAAATATCATACAATAAATAGTACTAATCGGTGGCCAACAAGAAGAATGCTTCCGTTGATCATCTTGGATTTTGATGAAACTTGGCACAACGATAGATTTGATGCTCAAACTTACCACCGTGAAATATCGCAGGTCTATGAGAAGTAGTTTAATTACAAAAATTGGTTATTTTTATTTGCAGCACGTAGTATACCCCGTAAGACAAAGTTGACCGCCACTGAAAGGTATTGAACAGTTTACCTATAGTTTACTACTCCTGATATTTACCAAGAAACCGTGTACTATATATTAGATAGTGCATTATACGGTACAGTTCATGCATTACCTACGTGCAACATTCCATTTATCAACGCACAGGTTGCTGAATCTTTCGATATAGCTATCAACCAACAAATCATCCGAGGCAAATAGTTATATCATATTTATATGACGCGATTTGATTTATATCAAACGATGTATTGGCGTTTCTGTATGAATTATTGATAAATAAATCATCATTTATCAAATAAAAGTACAAGTGAAGTCTACACGCTATTTTAATATTCCATAAAAGGCATGGAGTAAAAGTTTGTAATTTTGTCTCCGGGAGGTTGTAATTGTCTGTTAACATTAGTAAGGGATGAATTATGCTTTTCAGTGAGACATATCTGCAAAACGACTAGTCCTGCCTTTGCCAAAAAAATAATCAGCACGTCTTTCCTTCAATGGGAATTTAATACTTTTTGAATCATTCAAACCGTGCTCTCGAAATTGCGGTAAAAAACTGTATACGCACATACACATTTTTATAAGGTATGACAAAATGTTCAGAAATCTTTAAAACGTAGAGATATGCAAAATTTTTTATTTTTTCGATTACTATTTGGGGGAAACTCACCCAAACGTAGCAATTCTCTCTGCTACAGATTTCTACCAAATATTAAAAATTATGTTTTTCCCATAAAATTATGCAAACAGAAGAAGTTAGCTCCTAATGTATGTCAATGGAACTATTCTATCATCAAGATCAGTTGAAAATGATGATAATTTAAAGTCTTTCAGTTGCAAAGCGAGAAGATATTAGTGCTACGGCGAGTGGATCATTTAAAACGATTACGCGTTCTGAATAGGTTCCCTCGGGCGTGTTTGCAATATGCGCTCAAGTAACATGTAGGCCTTTGGTACAAGAGTAAAGGACACAAAGTAAAAAACTTTATAGAAGTTGAGAATTAACTGTAAATAAATTCAACTACATTGCTAAATGCTCAAAAATAAAATTATTTGAATTAATAGACAGATCCACAAAAAAGATGTCTGGATTGGGTGCGCTACATATGTTGTCCAACGTATTCTTCATCGCTAAATATGGAAAAATAAAAACGAAGAAACTTTGATCTAGAAATTTTTGTGCATGGTAATAAAAACTTATAATTTCTGTCGTTTTCTGCTCCTTTATCTTTAAATGTTCGATGGATTTCTGCAACACTTTTTTCATCTCTGTTGAGTATCTTTTTGCATCTCCCAGCAGTGATTTGCAAACATACTTCAAAGTACCTGGAAATTATTGTATGTTTGCAGATTATCTAGAGGCAATGTCGTTTTTTTTAAAAAAAATTTAATTTGACTTTTGTTTCATGTTTCCCCAATTTTGACTTTAGATTCATTTTTTTTCATTTAGTAATTACAACTGTCTATAAATATGACATCTAGTATTTTTTTTTGATTAATATAAATAGAAAGGGCATATTAGGCAGCCCAGTGGTGGTCCTAATATTATTGCTAACTTTAGATTTATGTTCAGCGGTAAAAAATACATTTGAAAACATATATCGCCAATCCAAACAACTTTTTTTGGTGTACCTGCGTAATTACGAATACAAAAGAATCACGAATTGAAAAAAAATTGTAACACCAAATGAATCATAACAAAGATAAAAAAAAAATAAAGTTTTTTTATTTATATATTCATCGCGATAAAATCAATTACAAAAAACTATTATACTTAAAAACATATCAAAATGAAATATTAATATAAATAACATCGTGTCTTTTACTCTTGGACTATATTATACACGAACATTTACTAGTTAATTTTTTGCAAGATAGAGTTAAAAGTTTTTGCAGGAATATTGATGATTATAACTAGTAAAAGAGTAATGACTTAAGAATTATAGATTAGATCTATTGAGAAAATGTGCATAAATTATAAGAACACCTGTTTTCGTATCATTGTAAGAAATATGATATAATTTATTAATGGTTGTTTTGTAAGATATTGTTTTAATTAGAACATCAATTGAAGGTGCTTTATCTTGTATTCTGATGCGGTTGTATAACTATTATGCAGATTTATTTCTAATATATATATAATTGTAAAGTGCCACAGATACCAACGATTTTAATTAATTTGCCAAGGGGATAAGCAATATACAGTAAGCAAATATAGTGCTCGGTTCCGATTAAAACTACTGCAATAAGAGTACAGCAGTATTTAATTATTACCATTATCTCATTGACTAATGATTTGTACCAAACAAAGACATTGTCAATCATTAATAATTATTCAAATAATAAACTTGTATCACCAGTTTTGAATTTCTTTTCGCGCGTTCCCAAAAAGCACTTAATAAATCCTTTACCTCATGAAAAAAATAAGAAACTGTCCTGAGCCATTACTCAAAATTCGTATGATAAATCCAAGTTAAAATTATACAGCGGTACACCTGTACAATGAATTATCGCTTCGTATAAAAGAGCATTGGTGCGATTTTGCCGCGAAACGAATTCGGATAGCGCTCAGAATTTCGTATGAACTTTTTCTCAACGCTCCGTCATTGTGCCCCCTTGATATGATTATTTATTTGCCGCGCTAACGACACTTAAGTGTCGACTCGGAAATTTATGTGTCGTATTTAAAGACGGCCGCTCGTATAAAGCTCACAAGAAACTAAATTTTTTAAGAGTAAATGTTTAAATATATAATAACGCAAGATTTCTCAAACATATTCCTCTAAACTATGGTTTTCCAAACTTCTTTGTGTCATGGACCCCTCAGACTGCCAT